GGGGGGGGGGGGGGGGGGGGGGGGGGGGGGGGGGGGGGGGGGGGGGGGGGGGGGGGGGGGGGGGGGGGGGGGGGGGGGGGGGGGGGGGAGGGGGGGAGGGAGAGAGAGAGAGAGATAGGTACGTCCTATTCACTTTCTTCCAATTCATACATTCAAATAAATTTCTTGGAAACACGTGTTTTCCTGGACCATATTCTAGTTCTTTTTTTGTAATTAGTCGATCTCACGGAATTAGCCACAAGTGAGTTACTTGTTATCAATTATTAATAGTCACTAATGACAATTGTGGGGACTGATGGAGCCAAATGAACCCACTGGAAAACAAAATAATTGAAAGTAATTTGGATTGGATGCTTTTCTTATCATGTGAAATTTTGTTGAGAATAGGTGTCTACCATTATGTTTGGAAAAGAAAATTAGAGGGAGAAGAAAACGAGAGGAAACATATTCAGATACGATATGACTTTCTGGTAACTTTTGCAATGCCCAATAATTAAACGTATAGGTTCCCTTCTCATTTTCTTTCCTCCCGAAATTTCTCTATTTTGAAAGATGGATTTGCGAGCATAATCATAAACGAGTTGAAAACTAGTAAGGAAAAAGAAGTTTCTTCTTGGACATGTGACTTCTGAGTAAACAATATACAGCAAAAAGTAGTCGGCGAGGCAAAAATCAAGAAACTATATGTGAATGAATTTTCATTCCGACAAAAGAAATATTGGGTTTTATTCAGGGTCCCATTAAATTTCCTTCATCATCAGTGCATTTAAAAGATGTGACAGACACTAATGTAATTCAATCAAGAAAACCCTTATGTAGTGGGACTTAAACAAGTTACCTTTCAACCTGGATTTTATTCACAGAAGTAGAAGTTAAAGGGCCGAAGGGACCATTCATGCACCGACAGTTTACGATATTTATTTGAATTTCTATGCGCTTTAGTTTTTGTTTCGTGATAAAAAGTTCAGGTTGGAAATTTCGTATGCGTTAGAATTAGGGTGCGACCCGAATTCTATTTGAAAAATTATTTGAAAATTCTATTTGAAGTCGACTTGAGAATTCTAGTTGAAATCTATTTGTAAATTCTAGTTGGAATTCAATTTGAGAGTTCTGTTGGGAGTTTGGAATTAGTGTTGGACTTGAAGAAAATATGAAAGAGTCCAAGTTGTAATAGGAGAAGAAGAAATCATACAAAGAAAAGAAAACAACAAACGGGCTCTTGCTACGCTCCCATCTCTCGCTCAAGTGCCCAGAACACGAGATTGGCACTCGCTTTCTATGAGGTGGCCACCCAAGGGGCATGCCACCTCTCGACAACCGTGAGACCGTCGCTAGAGCGGCGATTTTATTTGGATTTTGAACATTTCTTGTTTTTGGCAAACTTTTGAATCATATTTTATCTCAAATACTCTATTATTGTACACACTTAATTATAGTCGAACCTCACCACATCCTAGACTCTTCTTGCACTATATATATGAGGAGTAAACTTTTAGAAATATCAATATTTACATTCTACACAATAATTTGTTATAATCCATTATTGATATTAATAAATTCCTCTCTTTTGCCCGTAGTATATTTTTACCATATAAAATTTGTGTTCTTATTTGATTTTCAATAATATTGTCATATTACTATCGTTCATTTATTTAATAATCAAGTGGTATCAGTTCGATACATAATTCTTAACAATATGTGGCCAGTAAAAAATAACAAGTAACTTGGTTCTATTGATTCTTGAGCCGTAAAAACTAATTATTCAATTTTCGGTCTAAATACATAATCGATTAAATTATTAACAACTAAGTTAGACGCGGATGATTTCACTAGCTAGCTCCATCTAATCCAATCACGTCCATGATTTGCTCTTAACAAAATATATTTCCACGTGTGATTTGTTTAAAGTCAATGTATTGAAGTGTCTTTTAATGCACCAAATACGGACAATAATTTTCATTCATTGGCTAAAATGCAATTCAACTAAACAAGAATATAACTTACTTTTTACGAAATCAATTATTTGTGTACTAATTTATTTTTGGGGTATTTCTTATAATTTGATTAACGTTTTAATCTCGATTAACAGGATACAATTAGAATATCTAATATATCTGTCTTCTCCCACGAATCAACACAATTGTTTCCATGAAACCATTTAATTATAGAGTTGAATGAATGCAATATTGTTATGTGAATTTTGTCATTGATCATTGATCAGATTCCTAGGAGTTTGGGGTGATAATCAAATACCCAGTTAGCTCTCTTTCATCGTGATACTCTTTTACATAGATCGAATTGAATTATAACAATGTTTATGTAAGTTATAATAAATAAGTTGTCCCGTGACACTCTGGTGGACCCACATGGGGTCATAAGTGACCCCACAATTTTTTATTTTATTTTATTTTAAATTTCCTGCTTTTTTTTTTTTTTTTTTGTTGTTGTCTTCTACATAGTGCTCCAAAGAGAGTAATGAAACCTCATTTGAGCTGGGATTTATCTGCAATGACTAGATACTTCTGTCCGTGTCTGTTGTGAGGATATAAATAATAAAATTTTAGTTTAACTTCAAGACAAGCCAGCAATTTGGAAATAATACTTGAAAAGAGGAGATTAGAAGAAAAATAATAATAAAACAAATCATANCTCAAATGATTATGGTGATTATTAGTCTCTCGCTCAGGGATAGAAGAATTGATTATTGGTATTGCAAGGAAATCAAACATGATTGCTGGATATAAAAAAGGTACCCCACCCTATCTTTTTATTGGGGTTTGTGTTGTAATTGTCGTGTTATAATTGAGGTTTGTGTTGCTTAGTGTTAAGAGTATGTTAAGTATATAATTTATACTGCATTATTGCAAATGTCGTTGGAGTTCAAACAAGTCCAGGAGAAGACTTTCGAGCGCTAATTATTGAAGCCTACCGCCCTTGGATGCTCGAGCATCCTTAATTTCTAATCCCACAATAGAAAATATTTGAAACCATCCTTAATTACTTGATACTTGTACTTTTGTTAGTATTGGTGACAATGACAAAGCTAAGATTTATTCACAACAAACTTTGGGTACATTAAATGAATTCTTTTTCATTATTTTACAATAACATTATTTTACATTCTTCAATTTTATTCTTTTTTAAGGGCCGGATTTTCAATAATGTTAGTATTGCTAAATTCTTTAAACTAATACATAATCGTTATATCTAAAATGTTGTATCCTTTTCACATGAGACAAACTTTGCTATAATTTGATGGGATATGAAATCTTTACTAGAAAACGCTTAATTAAAATAGGAGTAAAATTTACGTCTTATTTTTACCGGTAGGATTGATATTATTATCTTATTGAACAATAATTTTATCGCATAGGACGATAATTTCTGAGTGTATGTGACATGTGATGCTGAAATGTACTTGCTTAGTTGTTTGTTTATGGTTGTATGGAGTTGTCAAATTTAAGATAACTAATAACAAAATGGAAAAACATTATGTGATCTACATTTCCTTTTCCTATTCACAAATCCTTTTCAAATTCCTATTTATAAACAAAATGTCAAAAACTTGCACCAAATGACAGGTCTTTCTCCTTACCACATTCTAAGGATGTAGAGAGTCCCACATGCCCACCTCTTCCAATTTGTGTTTTTGTGCATTTTAGAGTCATGCATTCTTATTCAGTCATTCAATTGATGGAGACATGTTAACTTCAATCCATGTTCACTTCCTCTTCTTATTATAGTATTGTACTTGACGGTAGTGTCATGGGATTCCTTCACTTTGTTATTGCTAATGATCATTCTTGGTCGGGACCACACCAAAAACCAATTTCAACAACTAAAGCAATTAATCAAATATTTTCCATAGATCAAGCATTTAGGAAGAAGGGTAACGAATGAGATGTTGAAACTAGTAAGCTAAAAGATTACCCAGCAAAAATAACCACGAATGGCTACAATATATTTTGTAAGTTTCTTCCGATTTCGCAATGTTGAAGTAAAATCAAATTCATGAGCTTATTATTT